AACTGATAAGAAAGAATTAATTTGATTTTTCTACAAATTCATTCTAAAATCCTTTTTTTCTTTAATATTATAATAATATAAAATATATATATATATATATATATAAAATGTCTTATCAGTTAATGGGTATATGATTTTCGAATGATATATATTTGATAATACTTTGTGTAATCGATGCTCGATGACTTGATAAAGTGCAACTCGCGTTTCTGCCAAGCAGTCTGTTTTCGGAGACACGCGACATAGCGGCAAGCCCGCTGAAGGCAAGTCAAGCATACAAGAACATCGTTGACAGCTTGACAAAAGCTAATGACACTGCATTAATGGCCAAAATGACAGCTGAAAATACTTTCTCTCAGGTAAAGAAAACAAAAATTCTTAATATTTATCTTGTTTATATAAACAATATTTCACCCCGACTTAACAATTAACAATATATATTTTGGTTAGTCACGTTTAATCGAATTTAATTCAATTATATTATTAAAATTATAATAATTTTATTTTAAAAAAGAAAAAAAAATTGTTGTATTTTAACTCATATATTTTTACAAATTTAATAAATTAAATAATAACACGAATGAAGAAATAACATTACCCGATATTTATATTAAAGACGAAATTTATTTTCCATTAAAGGTAATACCGGATGGGAAAAAATCGAAATCATTGTTGGACGATTCGATAGAAGTTTTAAATGGTTCGTTGGAACAATTAAAAAAATCTAACAATATGATGGAATCCGTGGAAGCTTCAATAAACAAAACGGAATTTCAGAAGGATGCTGTGAATCATTTGAAAAATACTTTAAACAATACCGAGATACGTGATAACAAAATAAATGTTAAATTGCGCGAAGTACAGAGTGAAAGCAAAGAACGTAAGTAAAAATTTATTTTAACGGGAAACAAAATTAAACGAAAAAATCTTATTGAAAAAAAAAAAAAAATAAATAAAAATAAAAATAACAACAAACAAACAAAAAGAACACAAACCAAAAATAAAATGTTTCTATATTTTTTTAGTACAAGAAAAATTAGAACAAGTAATGCAGGACAACGATAAAGTATCGGAATCAGTGAACGATATGAAAATGTTAATAGACGATTACAGGAAAGGTATTTCCGATCGATTGCAACCAAAATTGCAAGATTTGAAAAGAGAAGGAGACTCGAAGATCAGCTTGGCCAGTGAAAAATGTACGAAATATTAAAAGAAATTTATAAACTAAAAAATTTATATATACGATCATTAAAATTCTTAATTAATTGACGACGATTAATCTATTTTCTCTTTTTTCCTTTTTCTTTTTTTTTTTTATCTCTTAGTGTCAGAAGCTTTGAGCAACATTAAAAAAGCAGATGCAAAATTGATAAGTTTATCTAACGCAGCAGTAAAACGTAAAAATGTTTTTGATAAATGGAACGATACACTAACATTTAAACTACAAAATCTCAAAGACAAGATTGCTGAAGCAAGAAACACTGCTGAAGGGGTAAACAAACAAACAAATTAAATATTCTGTCATTTTTTTAAATATTTCATTTAATCATTTTCAATCTTGTAGATTCGAGTATCCGTCAAATCTGTGGAAGATAAAAAATGTATAAGATCTTACAGACCGAATATTCTTCAACCATCATCAATGACAACCATAATCATGACTTTTGCTATTCCTGATAATCAAAGAGACGGATCTTTACTTTACTTACCTAGTAGTATCAACGTAAGTTTATTTAATTTTTTTTTATTTAATCTGCAAATATATGCAAACAATTTTAATTATTATTTCAATTGACAATGTTATTGGATTTTTGTTTTCCCTTTGTAATTTAACAGGACGATTTCGTAGCATTGGAAATGATCGATAGGAAAGTGAAATTTGTGTGGAACGTAGGAGGGGGTACAGGAATTTTAACTCATCCTGAAACCATTGAGAGTGGTAATCTCAAAGAGGATCGGTTTTGGTACCGCATTGAAGCCGAAAGGTAAACGAATAAATCAACAAATAAAATCTAAACAAATAAAAATTTGCCTCAATCAAATCCCCGGAACCCACCCCCACCTCCCCGAAAAAATCTCATTTCTTTTTCTTTACCCCTGCATATAACTGAATTAATTTTTTTCTTTCATAATTTGTAATAATTTTTCTAGAATAAGAAACGTAGGTAAACTGAGCGTGAGAAAACAATCGTCGACATCAGGAAGATATCTCCCAGTTATGAATTCAACCGATCCAGAATATGGTAGATTCGATATAACCAGTATGGATCGTGTTTGGTTAGGAGGTATACCTGAATCTCAAAGAAGACCTGTTGAACTTATCGGTGCTAATGGTTTACCTGCTTGCGTTCATCAGCTCATTCTTGATGGCAAACCAATTGGTTTGTGGAATTTTATTACAACAGCACCTGACATGGCTTGCGAAGCTTGCATGGAAGGGTAATTATTATTATTATTAATATTATAATATTGAACAGTTTATTATAAAAGTAGTGTAATAATTCATTTTTGAAAAAACACACAATTTTGATATTTTCTTTACAATTAATGAAAATTACGTGTTTCCTCCCTCAATTTTTCTTTCCAAAAATAAACTTTTATATCACTCTCAAATAAACTTTATCAATTGTAATAATATATATATATACTTTTAATTTATTAATTTATTATTATATTTATGAAATATATAGAACCGAGGATATCAGAGATGACATAGCTTACAGCTTTAATGGCGAAGGTTATGCTGTTAGAAACAAAGTGTCTTCTGGTCCATACAACAAATACACTTTCGGCGTGTCCATCAGTTTTCGTACATACGATGAAAATGCTTTAATATTTTTAGCAATAAATGAGAAAAACGTACGTAATATTTATTCTTTTCTTTTTTTTTCTGTAAATATAAACATTTAAAATCCTCATGAGAACAAAAAAAATCAAAATAAATTTGAATTAACTCTTAACTTACAAAAAAAAATTTACTTTATCCAAGATAAATCTCACGCTTACGGTAAAACACTTACAGTGTTCTAACAAATAAATAAAATAAAATAAAATTGGAATAAATTTGATAACTTAAAAAAAAAAAAAGAAAAGTAGATTTTATCCAACTTCAATTGCACGCTTACAGTGTTCTAGAAAAAAAAAGTAGAAGAAGAAGAAAAAATAAAAACAAAGAAATAATAATAATAATAATAATAAATTCGAATGAATTTTTAATTGAGAAAACAAAAATCAAAAATTAATTTTATCCAATTTAAATTGACAGAATCAACACATCATGATAATTCTTCGAGAAGGAAGAGTTATACTTCACGTTGGTTATGGTGGTAACGTTAGCATGGAAATGTCATCGACTTACAAATACAATAATGGTAATTGGACCACCGTGGATGCCTTTAGACAATATCACTTACGTAAAAGTATAGAGAAATGTAGTTTGAACGTTGGTGAAGAGAATGATAAGAAGATAGGTGCACCAACACCGCAACCGAAAAAAGAAGATATTCCTGACTTATCTCGAGCTAAATATTACTTCGGTGGTGTACCACCCAGTTTCAAAGCTGAAAATATAATATTACCGTCTCAGGTATCCTTTCTAGGATGTATGTCTAATATTATTGTACAAGAAGGCTACGATCCAATGGCTGAACAATATTACGGCGTTGAACCCACTTGTGCCAACAAGGTAAAACAATTTATTTTATATATATATATATATTTATCCGTGGGGAGGGGGAAAAAAAGTTTATTCGTATTTCAATGATAAAGGAAACAGAAAAAACAATTTTCTTTGTTCTTTTTTTCTTTTGTTTCATATTTTCACATACAATCTTATCGAAATAATATAAAAACTTGTTAATAATTCTTCAACAAAGTTTTGTACAAAAATACGAAAATACTTTTATTCCCGATTCAATATTCGAATGAATGAATGAATTAATTAATTAATTGTCATCTTATATTTTAGCCATTGAGAACAATTGGTTTTTATGGTAACGGTTATCTCGAACATTCTGCTTTTACATTACGTAAAATAAGTTCATCATTTAGTTTCGCGTTCAGAACACTGCAGGAGGAAACGATTCTTTTGTTATCCACTTTCCAAGGTCAAGAAGAAAGATTATACGGTCCCCAATCGATGAACGAGGATATATCTGTAATAATTAATTTTATTTTTCTTTCAATTATTTTTTCTCAAATTATGTTTTTATCTTCTAATCGTTAATATTAATTTATTATTATTTTGTTTTTTTTAGAATGAAAATTATTATTCTGTTTGCGTGATTAATGGACAAGTGGAGGTACGATTAAATGGTGGAAAAGGAGAACTCGTTTTAAGATCTAATGATACGTTCAATGATGGAAGATATCACACTATTACGATTATTAAAAAAAGAAAGGATGTTGAATTAAGGATCGATGATGCATATCAAAATATAGCAAAATTACCAAGCAGTGCAGCTATCAAAGCACCTGATTCTAACGGTGGCCTCTTCTTCGGTGGACTTCCGGCTTTGATTAATAATACCAAAATGGTGGCTACTAAAGTTCCTTTGTACGGTTCAATCAAGGATGCTATCTTCAATGACGAGTAAGTTTAATTAAACAGAATATTTTATTAAAATTTATAATGAAAAGAATATTATATTCATTTAGAATTCGTAAATTTTTCAAAATAAAAATCACGTTTATTAAGTAACAAATTTAAAAA